AGAAAAAGGTAAACAACCCAGTCACAAAATAGGAACAGTATATGAATAGACACTTCACCAAAGAAGACATTCAGATATCAATTAAAAGCATGAAGAAATGTTCAAAATCCCTAGCTATCAGAGAGATGCAAATCAAAACAGGCATGAGATATCCTATTATTATCCCAGAAAAAAAAACCAGCAAAGTTCAACAGGGGAGCAAACAACAAAATGCTGGCAAGGTAGAATGGAACTCTTATTCACTGCTGGTAAGAATATAAAATGGTACAGCCACTATGGAAAGTAATCTGGTACCTTCTAAAAAAGTTGGAAGGAGAAGTACAATTTGACTCAGAAATTCCATTACTGGGAATATACCCTAATGAAATCAGACTAACAATTCAAACAGATGTATGCATACTTCTGTTTAGTCACACCAGCAAAGAGATAAAGTACCCATCAATAAACGAGTGGAGGGATATAAATACTATGGTAAATTCACACAATGGAATAGTGTGCAGCATTAAAAAAAATGAATTCGTAAAACATTGCACAGCATTAGGGAGCTTGGAGGACATTATGTTGAGTGAAATATCTCAGTCACAAAAGGAAAAACACTGCATCACACTGCTGTTATAAAACAGGACAGACATGGGGAGGGTTAGGGAGAGAATGGAAAATGAGTGGCTAGGTAATGACAACAACCTGAAACAAGGGGTTCATTGTGGGGTGGGGGCAAAGAAAAAATGCTCAACAATGAAAAAAAATACTATCAATAAATTGGGCCAAGGAAAATTCGACAGAAAAGGGGTACATTAACTCAGGTGGTGTACTGGTAAGGAGCTACACTGCTAACCTGAAGGTACACGGTTCGAATCTACCAGCTCCATCGTGGGAGAAGAAAGGGCAATCTCTTCCTATTTGATTTATTGCCGCTGCAGGGTCAGTTCTGACTTGATGGTACTTAACAACAGGTCAGTTATGTTTAGATACTTGTTTTATACAATGTCAGGGAGAGTCCGAGGCCATGCTCCTGGTGGTCCTGCAGGGGAGGAGTCCCTGAAAAATACCCTGACAATTGTCATTCCAGGCCCTGATTATTGGACATTCTGGTGCAACAGAGGTTGTTGCTTCTATTAATGCAATCTTAAAGCTCCTTTTTTTTTTCTAAAAATGAGTTTCAAAATTTTCTGTTGTTTCCTGCTTTTGTACTTTTTAAAAGCTATAAATTATTTTTCTGCCAATTACACTTGCTCTGTACTCTCCAACAGTAAGAGGCTAGTTGGGACAAACTGATTTTCCTTCAGCTCTAGAACTCAAAATAGAAAATCTGCCAAACATGAGCGGCTGTTATACTGGATCAAAGAGAGTCAGAAAATTTTAGAGATGTGAAAACAAAACTCTCAGACCTGAAAAAATTCCCTGTCCTTTCATTTGACTTTTTCTTATTTAAAAGCAGTGTAGAAAACCATGACTTTTCAGGCTTTATTATTAAATGCAATCTAGCTAATGACCACTACAAAAGATACCCACATTCCCTTTGGCCAAAGGTCAGCCACTGCTGTAGGTAAGTATGTTTTCCCATCTTGGCTTTTTCAGTCAATAATTACGGGTGAAATGAGAAATACTTGTGACAGTGGATATTAATTCCTGCCTTGCATTTTGGAAAGATTCCTTTAACCAGATTGCTTTTAGTTAAAATGTTTTTAGCAAAAAAAAAAGTTTTTAGTCAAATCGCGTGCAAGAAAGTTACCTGGAAACCACTAAAAGCATTTTCCTGGAATTAACTACACAAAGAATAACCTCACAGCAAGAGAAACAGGGATACACAGGGCTGTGATCAAGTGTGATGGGGTCAAGAAATTGCTGTTGTGTTGTTTTACTACAACATTGTGACATTGCCAAGTTTGTTTTTGTAGACTGACAAATCTGATTTACCTCCCAATAAAATTCATCCATTAGCTCTTTCTTTCACTGTGATGAAGACATTTTCCCTTGGTCACCTAGATAACATGCATGCTTTGTCTATCAATTGCTCTTTTGGTGGGTGGAGGGAAGGGACATGCAGAAAAATATTGCACTAGATACACTATTTCCTTTGCCTCAACTCCTGGACTTGTAAGAGAATGGCAAAGGTTTTGACAATTTGTAAGGATTCAATTTTAAGCAAAACAATTTCACTATAGTTTGGATTTTATAACCATGTAGACATTGCTAGTTGCCTGTTTAACAATCATCCCCTTTGTCTTGCCTTCTTTCTTTGTGGACCTCAAATTTGTTCTTTGTTAAGGGAAGGCAGTGGCCCAGTCTAAGAGGTAGAGTTGATTATTCTATGATCCACATGGTGATTCCTCTCCTGTTCCTAGTAATTAATTGATCTGCTAATTGGTCTGCAAGGCTCCTTGAGCAAAGAGACCTAAGGAGAAAGGGCTTGGTGGTCTCTGGAATGAGAACATGATTCCTCAAACCACTGCATTTCTCCTTTCCCCAGGAGGAGCACGAAACCAGACATTGAGGAAAGCTGAGTGGAAATATGAAAGCACTTGGGTCTTTGATGGTGCAGCATTTACCTAGCAAATTCCAAGGCTCTGAGGAATTCTGAAGGCCTGAGATTGCCGCAGTGTCCACAAATGTATTTGAATATGAGACTCTTCTATGTGTTGTTGTTAAGCGCCTTAAAGTTGGTTCTGACTCACAGTGTTCTTGTGCTCAACACAGCAAAACACTGCCCCCTCCTGTGGTATCTTCACAAACGCTGTGGTTGGTGAGTCCATAACTGCAGCCACCACGTTAATCCATCTCATGGAACATCTTCTTCTTTTTTTACTGACCCTCTTAACAAAGGGAGCTCTTGTGGCCCAGTGGTAAGGAGCTGCACTGCCATCCCAAAGGCACGTGGTTTGAATCCACCTTCTGCTCCACAGAAGAAAGACGGGCAACCTTCTCTCATGTGATTCAACTGCTTCTGAAAACCTGCTAGAGGATCAGCTATGGGTTGATTCTGACTTGACGGTACACAATAACAGTTGCTTAACAAGGGAGTTCTGGTGGCCTTGTGGTAAGAAGCCGCACTGCAATCCCAAAGGCACCACAACCACCACCTGCTTTGTGGGAGAAGGATCAGCTCCTTTTGTGTGATTTATTGCCTCTGTAAACCCACTGGAGTGTCAGCTCTGAGTCAGTTCTGACTGACATTGATAGCACACAGCAACAGTAATAACTATGTAACAACAATAACAAGATATATAATAACAACAATAACAATAGCCATAATAAGAGTATGCTGTCCAACTCCAGGGACTGATGCCACCTGGTAACACACTCAAACTGTGTTCATATGAGATAAATATAACATGGCCATGTTCTGCTTACCTAATGTTCCTAGTATAATGATCAATTGTGATATAAGGCCAGTAAGCGAAACTCTTAAGAATTTCCTGTTCTGCCCTGATTTACTGTATACTCTTCTAGCTTTACTCTGAAGGAAATAAGAACATGACTCCCAGACTACTCTGAAGCTTTTTTTTCCCCCTAAGAGAAATATTAAGAGGCAGTTGTCAGAACAGAGTAAGGAAACACTGCATGGTTCAAAATTGGAAAGGGTGTACGCCAGGGATGTGTCCTGTCTCCATACCTTTCAAACCTGCATGCAGAACAGATTGTCCAAGAGGCTGGGCTCTATGAGGAGAA